TCGGTACTATCAAAGATGTTACAAAAAGTATGGTTATGTTACCCACTACAATCAAGATGTTACTTTGTACAATCTGGATAGTAACTGATAGAATCTAGATTGCTGTCCGTATATGTAAGATCAAATATGGTACCTGGTACTATCTAGATAGTACCCCGTACCATCTATTTCTCTCCGTGTATGCATTCTTAAGTAAATACATTTTCAAGTAAATGTTTACACTTACAGTTTTTCCTTCACGTAATTTGTTTTTCCATCTAGATGCTAGGTTGAATCTAGCACAATTGGACAGTTTCTCATACACTTCCAAGATAAATTTCTACAAGGGACAAATAATTGATATTTGTTTTCATTTCATCCGAAATATTCAATAAAAACTGATTTTGATTTCACATAAATAAAAAAGAACTTTCCATCAAGGTAATACTTGTTTTAAACTTAAGGGGGAGTGACACCTTTGAGGTCTCTTTTGAACCTGTTTTTCTTGAATTTTTTTAAGACACAATAATAAAGTAAACAAAATTTGGTTTCGAGGACTTTATTTGTTAACTTTTTCAGTTTACGAAAATATATTTATACTTAAAGAAAAGTTTTAATTTGTTGCCTATAGAGGGCGACAAAGTTGATCCCCTTTCTCTACAGGGCAAATCGGTGGGCAAGATTCCGGTTAGACGCTTTAATATAAAAAAAATTCAAATTTTTTCTGAATCTGTGATAGATTTAGCTTTAGAGTACGTAAGATATTTTAAAAATATTAATTTTTGTGGCCTTGGCAGCTGTTTGATGGAAAAAGTCGATTTTTAGGGCGAAATTTTTTCAAAAAATCTATTGCCAATAAAAAACAAACCAAAAAAAAATCCGCTACGTACTCTAAATGACGATCAAAAAAAACTTTGGCCGAAGTCAATCCGATCAAAACTGTTTGAGCTAGACTGCCCACCGTCTTGAAAAATGTCATTTCGAGAAAAACGCGTTTAAAGGTTTGACAAGCACTGGCAGCGCTATAGGACACCTTATGTAGATTTCGATTTTTTTCACATAAAATAACTTCGAAATCACTTCTCCTGATATAATTTCTATTCTACACATCTTAAACTATCGTTTAAGCAAAAAAAAATGGATTTTTTTCGGGTCAAAGGTGTCACTCCCCCTTAACCTATACTTTGTTTGCTTCTTAGGTACCTTTCTTCAAAGCGCGTCACATATCTAAAATGTAATGTTAACATTGAATGTAAACGAAACACTGTTAACCTAAAAGTGTCAAATTGCAACGAATTGATCCAAAAATGCGGATCAAATCAAAAATTGATCCAAATTTTTAGATCAATTTGATCCACTTCGGGTTCAATTTGATCCTTTTTAGAAAACTGTGAACTGGTATGGTATAGCCATACGGAATGGTCCTCGACACATATTTTTGCTTCAAGAAACAATTATTCAAAAAATCTTTGTACTCGTTTAAATTAATGTAAAATCTCAAAAAAACTATCTTTTTTCTACATATTATTTGTTCATTGTATAAGTTCTATTTGTAGATAGTAAAATACTTATATTGATATACGAGTGATACTAAAATGGACTCAAAAAACAAAGCGCGAATCAGTTCAATCAACGGAGCGGCTAGATGATTTTTATAAAGTGGGTAAAGTAACATGTACAGCGTTCAACGTGAGATGAAAAAAATGAATTATAGCAAAGAGTAGATTCATGAATGGACGATGAAATTTATAGTAATTGTTATCGTCTTTAGTTTTGCATTAACCGAGATGCACTTTGAGTGCGCGGCAGGTTCTTTTGTGTATATAAAATGCAAAATGGTTTCTTCGTGGACTCTGTCCTGTCGGTATTTATGGCATCGTTCCTCAGAGCAGTGAGCGGCGCTCCTAATTACTGAGTTTTCGTTTGAAAAAATCGAAAGTGGGTAATGTATCTACGGATGCTTAACTGACGTTTGGAATCGGCTACCGTAAGATAGTCCTGAAACAATGCCGGAGCTTCGCAGGAGGGAGGAGTTCCAGAGGTTCAGGGTGGACTTCAAGGACATCGCGAGAGAAGGAAAGAGAAAGATGTCGGTAATGCTGACTACGAGAAAGGTCAAATACCGCCATAATAATGTCTCTCTTTAGCAGAATGCGGGGAGGACTTTACAACGCCAACGAGTCTGCAATTACCTTGTCTAGAATAAAAAAAAGAAACGAAACGAAAGAAAAACGAGAATCCCGATATATACTCTCGCTCGACTCCACCCGCAGTTCATTAATTAATTCTCGAGGATTTTTCAGCACATCTCAAGAGCAGCGGCGATATTTTCCACAGAAATTATCGTTCGGTTTATTATTCTCAAAGAGGAGGTGTCTGAGAAATTATATAGGGATGGGAGGGAGGGGGCGTCAAATGAATTATTGAGAATGCTACTCTAAAGATGGTAAAGGCTATTATCTACATCGCAGTGACTACCACGAGCTACCATCTCATTTTAAGATACTTATTTATATCACTCCGTATTTTAGTGACTTTTTTGTATTTATGAATCATGTATTCTTCTCATGAAAATATTCGTATACTTCTTTCCCGGTGTACGAATTTTATATGATGCTAATTAAATTATCTTTATGAAGTGTACAGAGAAGGTTGTATAATTTACCTTCTTCATTATAATTATATGCTAACTAATTTGTATGCCATTTAAAATTTTGCGAAATTCTTCAATATACATTAATTTACTTCTCTGTACCTATTTTATGACAAATTTTTTGTATTGTTTCAAATCATAACTGTCTTATAATTCAACAAATTAAAAGCACACGATGTATTTAAAGAAGCTTTAAACAAAAAATTTAATGAAACTGGTATTGCAAAGATGAAACTATTGTCATAAACAAACAAGTAAATGTCTATCATAACCAATATATATGCATATTATTTATAATTCATTTGGAAATTGACTCGACTACCTGAAATAGTAAATGTGCAGTAATTGCTTTTACGTTACATGGTAGAAGAGCTTGTAACTAGTGCGGTTTAAATATACATTTATAGAGTAGCTGTTAAAGTACTTAAGAATACTTAAGCAGGGTAGTAAATCTTGATTAAATTGCAAATTGCTGTGTGCATTTAATTCCATCGAAAATCTGGGAACTGAAATATGTTGAGTCTCGCATCGATTATATGTACATGCGTCAACTATGTGAATGTTGACATGAGTTCAACGCTTACAAGTTCGTGACATCAATTGACACGACATGTAAACATATATACGCAAGGATACAGTTGATGAGATAATCGCGATCGTTATACGATAACAGTGAAGATCGATTAATCCTAGTTTAACTCGGCAGTCTTATATACATTTTTCTCTGATGCAAGTGAAGATATTAACTTGCAAGACGTTTTTGAAAATCGTGTGAATATCAATAACTTTATTTCCGTCTGTGATTATAATCTACTTTCAATCTGATTTCTATTTTTATTTATTCATTCTCAGTACTATGACTCTATTTTTTATCAGATATAACGAAAAGTATTATTCTTTATTGTCAGTGATGAAGACAGAGAACCTCTTTGGAAAATTAACTTCTCAAACTTATTGTATTAACACCCAGAGAAAAGATTTCTTTCACTTGTTTTCTTTCATTCAAAATACATTTTAACATTCATATAGGGTCTAAGAAACATTTATTTGAATTAAATAAAAAATTTCTTTAAAACGAAGATAATTTTTTTTGAATCAAAGATAATTTGTTTGAAACAAATAAATTTTCTTTGTATCAAAGAAATCTTTTTTCTGGGTGAATTTTTACAAAATTAACTTTATAGAATAATTCGTGAACTTGATTTATTTATTACTATGTGAATAGTAATAATTCCAATCAAGTGGAAATTTGTACATAATTTATTCAGAATTATTATAAGAAAGTATATTGATGTTTGAAGTATTTTCAGAATCAACTTTCCTAAAGGTACAAATGTCTTGCAAATAACTGACAATATATTATATTTCTGCCTTGTAACTTTTTAATGTTAATGTCAGATCAAATTAATCTCTAGAGTGTATACCTTGTATTACTCAACAAAGTTGCTTGCACCAAAAAGAAAGGATTACTATGCTCTTATAGAGATCATGCCATTTCAAATTTGAACCAAGCCTAATATTATTTCAACTTCCTAAATTATTGTACCACTTATTGTTGCAAGTCACTCTTAGTCTCATTTATAAGTTGAGAACATGCTGTGAACAAGTAAATTATGCAGTGTAATAGTACAGAACATAAAAAAATAAAATAAGTTCGATTATTGAGCACTTGGTGGATGATAAATGAATTTTGTAAATTTTTCCTAAAAAAAAGAAGACGTTTTGAATTGTTGCTGTGCAAAATAATGAGAAAATTCCTCTGCCCATTACAGTTGTTGAGAGGACTTTGTCCTGTTCGTTTCGTGTTACCGATCCTCCTTCATAAATATACAAACAATTCGCGCATTTGGCGAGGCAGTGACCGCTTGGTACACTGCGTGAGATACCTACGTTGCGACTAAAATACAACGTGATTTGTGCGGTTGAGTGTATGGCACGCCGCGCCGCCCCAACATGTACTTTGTACCCCCCAGGACAAAAGTTCCCTTGCATTTCAAATAGACCATAAGTTACACACGTCTTGTGCGAACTTTTGATACTGTATGTACGAACATGTACATGTACTTCACGTAGCGTTGACGGTACTTACAGTCTAGCTGGCACGATCCTGGCACGACCAGGTTAGCAAGCGAGAATAAGTCTTGCCAGCCAGTCGAGCCAGGCCTTCGCATTTTATTAGAAGTGAAAGTCAACGTTTTAGGTGGCTACCTTCAAATACATTTGAATTATGCCACTTATTGGTGAACCATAAAGAATCCGCGGGCGTTGCCTCCCACCATAATTTCGAATTCAAGTCACCCAATATATGCAAAGCAACCCGAAATTTTAATAATAATTAAAAATTAGAGGAATATTTATATAAAGTTACCATATAGTTAGCTCTTATGTTGAAATCCCCTCTCGAAACTTTTCTGCTCACGCCCCTGGAATCAATAAAACATTTTTTATTAAATAAACTATATATTGTTAATAAATTAATATTACCGATAAATAACACTGTTTGCATACAAATTTTACTACTGAAAAAAAAGAATTTAAAATCTACTTTATAATATGTCAATTTCTGCTGATTCCCATATAAATCCACACATTGGAATTGTTTTTGTGAAAAAGACAATTTTTGCCTTGATACCTACTTAGAAAAATATAAATTGATATATTATGTGCATTGCTTTGGTAACAAAGCAGAAGGTGCCATATTAAAAAATTGATTAAAAATTTTTTTTTTCAGTGTAGATTATTATGAATTTCATTAAATTTTTTTTTTTGGTTTTTTGAACGCAGGCTAATTACGAATCTTAAGGGGAAAATGCATATTTTTAAAAACAGATACGTATTTCTTTAGATTTTGAGCTAAAGAAACTAATTTTTTTTGGTTTTTTGTTCTAGCTCAAATATAAATACCGTTCATTTATGCAGCACTCCACTAAATCATCTGTCAAACAAGCATTTTAAAATAATTAATTTTTTTTTAATAACGTAATATATTTTAATTTAAATAAAAATATTTCCATCCTTCAATAAAAATTCTTTAAAACACGTATTTTTTCATGCGTTCAAAGTGGTGTAACCCCTTAAGTCAGATTTTCAAAATTCAAAATGGCGGCTCTAATATGGGTAATTTTTTGTTTACGAATCTAAAGTTAGTTTTTAACTGTGCATACTAAATTTCTTAAAAATCTATCAATAGTTCAAAGTAAATTTTGTTAATGAAAAGATTTCACAAAAGATTTAACAAAGTAATTTTTACGATTGATTGTATGATGAAAAAAATGGAACATTTTGTATACACACTTGTGCAAATGCCTCGGGCTGTTTCGCTACACGTCGAGAGAATGAAAGGGAACCATGTACTTCACGAATTATTGAACTGCTTGGAACAATATTTACGTTATTTTTCTTGGAATGGATTTTAGAAATCTTCGCTTACATCTTCTATTGCTTTACGAAATAAGCCATAAAGTCTTTTAATTGGCTTTGTTATAAGGGAGGCAGTACACACGAGATCGAAATCATAACTTTTTACTTTCAGCATAAATTCGACTTCTTGTAATCTCATGCTTAAGATGTTAAGGGTTTTTGTGTATGTTTAAAGGAAGGTGTAACAATATATTGTCGCGAATTTATATATGGGATTTTGAGGTACATAATATTATGCATATATATATATCATTACTATATTATAAAAAGATATCGCCGCCGCCGCTGATTCAAGAATGAACGCTAGGCGAGAACTTCGCCGCTACGCGGAAGCTCACAATACTCGCCTACTGTTCAACTCGCAAAGCATTAAAACTCGCGTACCGTTCAGAATTTGTCTTGAAAATTTCAGATATTGTACTATCTATATCAAAAACATAAGTTGAAAATTAACATAACATCAATACTCAAGGTCAAACGACAGAATCATAGATTAAAACGAACATAACTTCAAAAATCAAGGACATGTCAAAAACCAAAGTTTTTGATGGAGTAAAGACGGACATAACCTCAAAATTATTATCAGAGGTCAAGATATGACCCTCCCTTTAAACTTTTAAAGGTCATAGGTCAAATAAGAACATAACCTTAAATTTACGTTGAAGGTCATAGGCGTGTAGGCGAACATAACCTCAAAATTTGGTGAAAGTTATAGAAAAAATTGACATTACCCCAAAATCTTATTAAAATATAAATAAATTTCTGCTGTTGAAATTTAAAATTTTTTTATTAAATATGAATTTAATCAAAATAATATTTAATATTTTTAGTAAATTTAAATAGGGGGTTGGCGCGCGAAGCCCCCCTAGTATATATATAATGTGTACAAGAGGGTTTCACAAAAGTTTGACTAATCTTGTTTTGAGCGAACGATTATCTTGCGTCCTACAAGAATATGTTCAAGTATTTTTTATTTTCTTGTAATTTTCGCATTATCTTTCTACCTATACAAGAATAGCAATACTCTGACATTTCCTTTCTTTTAACGACCGAAATATAAATCTGAGCCTAGAATATGATTAAAAAGTACAAATAATCTTTCGACAATTTGTTTGTACAAATATAGTACGATAAAAGAAAATTTACATGGGAGTAGACAACATCGTCATCTGTCGGTTTAATTTGTAACAACACACTATGGTAGTTTAGTACACATAATAATTCTTACATAATTATATAGTGAACCTCACCATTTGTTTAGTTTGTCAAAAATTAACGATTCTGTTCAGCAGAGGATATTCTATACTCTCACATGCGAGTGAGTTGAATCTATTATGCCCTTCTCTCTATATGTATATTATACTGAACTTCTTGTTATAGAAAATTAATTTCTATGAGACAAACAATAATTTCGTATCGTAATAGACCACTACTTTTTTTAAAATAAAAGACGGAAGAAAATTGTAACGAATTAAAAATTTTTTATTACACATGTAAGTATCTAAATAAGAATTTTTTTTTATAAATATACGTATGCTTAAACATTTTTATAGACTTTTGTATACATTATATTTAAAATCACTTTCTCCTGTTGAATAAAATATCCAGTAGAATTTTCATTGCACTATTTTCCTCGAATATAATAAGGAACTCAAAATAAAGGTAATTTGAAAAGTGGAACACCTATTGATAATAAAGTACGAATTTACTTCTTCCGCTCTCATTTTCTTAATAGAGAAAGCTACTCAAGAGGAGCTAGCGGAACCTCGTGTAAAACTATTATAAATGACATAAAAAAATGAAACCACTTTTGTCTATAAAAGAGGCAGCGCTCAGATGAAATTAAAATATTTCCAAATTACCGTGGAATTATATGAATATTATTATTTGAAAATCTTTTAATTATTAAGACATTTTTAACCATATTTACATTCGAATTTCTTAATAACTATATCGAAAAAGTAATTGAGCATTTATGAAGAAGAAAAAAGCAGGAGAATAAAATGTTGTCAATTTTTTTTATTTACATATTTCCATTTTCTTTATATTTTAACATGATTTTAAATTTCTTTTACAAAATACCTACTCTGAATTTTATAAATGTTTTTTTTGTACGAAAACTTGTTGAGTTATAGCTTTATAAATCATAATGGTGTAAAAGTCGAGTAACATTTTGGTGTCCGTATAATAAAAACAACAAAAATTGGTTGAATTTGATTTCCCAATATGTAAAGACTGCTTTCAGTTAATTATACATTCGATCCGGTAACATTTATTTGCAATGTATAACTTTGAGACAAAAATAATTCTAGAAAAACTGGAAACCCCACATGCTGCGTTTATAACTTGCCACGACTTGTACATATATGATGAATGTTTGCACTGTATATACTTGTTTACCTTTCACAGTAAAGTGCAATTTTTCTACAATACATATTTTCCAGTTCACACTTGTAAACATAATTAAGTTTAGGCATATGTGTGCAATCAACTCACGCGGGTCAATGAGTTTTTTGCCCTTTCCTAAAATCATTTCATGCGAGTAAACTTTCACAAAATTATTTTTTTTATTCGAGAAAAAAAGAAAACTCTTTTCTTTATATTTATAACAACATTCATAAAAGTTGGCGATGTATTTATAAATAATGAAAAAGTCAAAAGTATAATAAAGTAGCGTATTTTAAAGGTAATAAATATAAGATTTAAAACTTTAACATCCGTTTGAAAGATTACTCTTTAGCTTTCCATAAATGTAAAAATATTCTTTTACGGCAAATTACTTAAGAAAGTGTAATTTTTTTTTGTGAAAAGCAGAAGGTTACGAATAATTTGCGCGCATACTTTTAATATCGGACTGTATTTTCAATCACTTTTTATAATGCATATACTACTACTGCATGCGCATAATGTAATTAGCATTTAAAGTCAAGTAAGTATGTAATAATTTTTAAAACACTCAATAATTTGCGTCCGACGTTAATTTAATAAATATTATGGCATTCTTCTAAAAATAATGACTTAATAACACAGTGGGCATTAATAAACTGCTACAAGTTCACGACTTTTACACCTCCACTATTTAATATTTCCTATACAATAAAAATCTATATTCATTATTATTCGAAAGTTTCTACATACATAACAATACTTGTATACAAAAGATATAAAAATTAGCAATCAGATTACAATGCCGAATACATAAAAGTTGAAAACATGCAAAGTAAAACGAAAAAAAAATTCTTCATGGAAATTCATGTAGAAGACACGATATCAATAAAAAATATAATTATTATTAACAATAAATTATTCACCAATTTTATCATTTAAAAACTAATGATTTCACAATTATTTTTCTTACTCGTGCAGCATATTTTTTAAATAACACCCAATATCATTAACTTAATTTGTTTTTTTCATTCTTCAAAACTTTCTATATTATTTATTGTAAGTGGCGATGTAATTTTCTCTCGCTAACGCTCGCTCTGTTGTAGTTGTCCTTATTATTATATATACTTAATATGGTTAATATATTTTAATACCATTTTTTTTATTTATATTAAAAAATTAGTTAATTTTGTTATTTTTATAAACTATTTATATTTTTTTGATTTTAAAATATATTCCTAATTAATGAATTAACAATATAGTAATAAAATAATTAATTTATAAAGAAATTCATCACATTTTTCCTTATCTTGTTGTAATTTTGATTATCTTAATGCAGTTTTTTTAGGGTCAGTTGGGATAATTGGGGACAAAATCGCTATATTTCATAAATTACGTAAGTTTCTTCCTTTAAAAGGTAATATTTGCGGGTTTATTTTTTTTAAGTTGTTATTTATGTTCTCAGGATTAATTTTATGCAGCAGAAAAAAATTTAGATAAGCTTTAAACGCATGGAACTGACTGTCCCCATTTACCCAAAAATTTAGAAAATTTCATAAAATTTGGGGTAGATGGGGACAGCATAGTTTCTAAGAAAGTTTTATGAAAAAAGTTTCCTGAAGTATATTAC